AAAGTACCAGGTACAAAACATTGGAATTTGACCACCCGTCAATGTTAAAGAGTTTATGTTGTGCTGCTTAAACGTTTCAATGAGCGCATATCTCAGAAATGCTTTCTATTGGAGATACACGATGTTATTTTGCGACAACTAACTCATCTTTATTTTAGACTTACCTATATAATAATAAACTCGTGAACCCATACAATATTTACAAGGTGCCCAACAAAAATAAGTAAGTAGTTTAATAGAAAGACTATAAAAGTTATTCAAAAAAGGTTTGTGCTGCAAGATTGGCATCTTGAATAAGTGTAAAGTTCCAAATTATTTGGAGATATACAGGATGTTGCACAATTCCATGGACAACAAATATGTTTTTTTTAAGGAAAACCTTGTATTTTATTGTGTATAATCAGATAACCGGTATAAAAAAAGCAGTATTAAACTTGATATCAGAAGAAACTTGTTAAAACTCGGATCTGATGGTATAAAAATATAAATATGGGATGTTTGAGGAAAAGCACCGTTTTGCGTTTCGCAGCACCTCGATAAAGTTGGCGTACTTTTTCATCCTCTTTCCAAAATTCAAATGGCAGATGTCTGTATATTTCTTCAGATAAATGATAAAATAACTAAACAAATGACGATCAAAATAGTACAGTGTCTTGTTTTCTAAAGGTCGTTCCAAATATCTAGTATACTATAGGGCGTTCCATTAAAAAAACAAGTTTGTTGTGCCACGGAATTGACACACACACATCCTGTTTATTTCCAAACAACTTAGAGATAAACACCTAAAAGATGTCAACATTGTTGCGCAAACCGTTTTCGAATATCTGGTATAGTTTTTCTATTAAACAATTTTTCACTGTGGCATCTTGTGTATATTGTATGTGTTCACGGTATTTTTATCATATCGCTAAGTCCCCTCAGTACATTAATGCTGTAGGCAGGCGAACTCATAGGGGCCAGGACATCAAACTTTAACACCCTGTATCTCCAATGGAAAACATTTGTAGGATTTGCGCCGATTAGAACATCAGCACAACATGAACCACTATATGAATTTTCTTTAACATTGGTTCCTGGCCAAATTCCATGTTTTGTGTTATTGTTGTTGTTTCATTTTTATCTGGATTCTCCAGTACTATATAGAACATAGCGTCGCAATAATTCCGTGCTTGTCAAATATAGGCCCCTGCTTATCCTAAAAACTCGCGTTTATTACATTGATGAAGATGGACATGCATTGCACCATGTTTTCCGGACTGCTTATTGATCTGTGAGCATTTTTTTTTCTGGTATAATACTTTCCATTGAAACCGATTTCACAGCCCATATGCGCAATCAGGCTAGTTTACAAACTAATAAGGAATAAGGAATAACTCAGTGCTGTATCAGATAGACCGATGTGCTTAATATGAGAAGCAAAAATAACATTTCGGTTTTAACGGATATCTTTTTCTAATTTTATTTTTGTCTTTTAGGTAAGTTAATGCACTAATTTTACAAACATTTTATGACCAAATGTGAGTTATAATAATGAATATAGTATACTTAATTTAATAGTAATTGTTTCTAATTAACGAATATCCTTTATTCGACACCTATACTCGATACCCATAGTTATTGACCCTTAACTCCTTACTGTAACCATGTTTTGTCATAAAAAGTAACCAGTGGCGTTTTAGCGATAAACTGAAATCAATTTTACCCTACCCTCTCCTCTTACATCTAGAATAATTTTCCAATAATAGCCTAAAGATACCTACATTTTATAGTACCTGCAAGAAAAAGTTACTTACTGAAGTAACAATTATTTTTAACTTATTTTAAATCAAAATGAAATATTATACTGAACTTAAACAAATATCAATCACTAAATGTGACCCATTTGGAATATCCTATGGGGGTACCATCCTCTTTAGAAAATTAAATCTGTATTTCCGGTGATTTATTTTCAGACTTAAAATGAGTGGTATTTTCTCCAATTTGATATGGAAATTCTTAATCTGCCCTGGGCCACCCTACAGATATTTTGAGGGCACTTTACCTTTACCTTCTCTTTAGTTCTAAAACGTAATTGTTTAATAGGGGTTAAAAAAAATCAGCCAAGTCTATGTGCTTGTTACTCGTTAAAGTCCAAGCGCGGCTGATGTAGTACACATGGACCTCTACGCAACTAACATTCAGCGCTTGACATTGCATGCACACACACACACACACATACGTGCATTCGTGAATGTATCCATCATCTATTTATACTCCTCACACAGATTATCTGTAAATATTTATTGTAGATTATTAGTTCGTTGAATGAAATTACTGTATTCATATTAATATTTCGCAATTGCTCTAAATATCTCCAAGTCAAAATCCATATTGATAATTTACACCTGTGTAGCTCTCAACATCTCCGACTTAAATTTAGTCGTCCGTAATGAGTTATTACATGGTTTATTTGCAAACTTGTAGATTTCAAAGCCTATTTGGCAATATTACAAAGATGTACATCACATTACTGGATTAATTTATCTCTATGTTTCGTCGCATATTTTCCGAGATTTATTGCTGCAAATACGTTTATCTAATTGTCTATTTTTGGGATAGTCCCATGATTCTACATATTTTTTGAACGGGTCAAGTTTGCAATTTGTGGGTATAAGAGGCACCTTTCTTTTGGCTGATGTAGGAAGGAAAACTTGAAGTGAAGCTTGGAAATACGATGCGTATCCTGTTGAGCCCGATTTCCCTCAGGCATCTGCATTGGGGCCTCTGCTATTTAACTTATATTTAAGTGACTCGCCCATTCATATCATCTATGAGCGGCATATAACTATGTTTGCAGATGACACCACAATTACTATATCTGCAAGATTGAATCACCTTCATACCAAAATTCAACTTATAAATTTATTCGATAAATTCTAAAATCAATCACAGAATTAATATAGAACTGGTTATATGACCTTATTATTTCTCTTTCTTGTAAATGACTCGGCACATATTTTGATAGCAGACTAAATGTTCAGGACCTATTGCTCATGTTCGCAAGTGTAGCATATTTTGGATACAAACAATGTATTGCAACTGGTTCAGCTTGAGCGCTGAGGATGAACACGATAAGCAAGCGCCGTCGCGACTCCCGGCCGCGTCAGTGCCGTAGCCTAGAAGCCAAACTTATGTAATGTGACGTCACGTCCGAACCTCGATGCGCGAGGGCGGCTACAGCATTTAACACATAACATGTCATGACTTCCTTAAATTTTAGGTTATCGGAATACACCTAATTCGGAATATCAGATTTGTAAAATATACCAGTTATACCATTATATGCTAGTGAAATTAGCAGTATTTTCGACTTCAGGAAACTTTCTAATACTGGAGATATAAGCAATTCAATGTGCAAAAACGCTCAACTTTGACAGGCCGCTAGTTAGTGGTAGTTAGTGGTTTTATATTCTATGGTTACAAAGGACTCATGAGCTTCAAAATAGTGTATCATGTAATTCCTAATTCCATTTACATCTGCTATTTTTATGTTTAAATATAATATTGATTCGTCAATATCAAGTTCAAGTTTTTGATTATAAAATGGTAATAAACTCTTAAACCAAATAATTTTTTCGCCAGATATGACTCGTCAAATTTGGTATACTTCAGTTGACTAAAAGATGTGAGCAACAAATGGAGTGGCAGGGTTTCTTTGTATCAGATTTAGCAATGGGTTACCGAAACAGTGCTGTTAAAAATAACAATAACAACATAGACCTTCACCGGGTGTTCTATTCCTGATAATTTCAAAAGCTCCGCGAGCTAAAATATCCGTCGATGTTTTGGTCGATCATTTTGCGTCATTAACTCAAGGACCTTAGAACTCCGGTATGTATTTCGTAGAATTTTTTCCCGAGATCTCCAGCATCCTTTCTTCCGATTTGTTCCTCGTCGATAGGTCGCAACCATAAATAGTTTCTGACTGTTTTCTTTAGTCTTTCCCTTGATCTCTTGGAATCACTTATTGATATCCACTGCTTCTTCATTTCTGATTTGTTTACTTAGGGATGATTCTATCCATACAAAGCCTTTTTATATCTTCTATTAGGAACGGATTGTGATGTTCGCCCCATTTTAGTTTTTCAATCTCTTGCGCAACAACTTCATCATTGGTGGAATTGTTCTGCTAAAGAATTGTCATGTTAGCCTTCCAATTCCTCTTCATTGTCTGATTTAGAATAAGAAGATTCATACTCTAAAAGCTTTATTCTTACGAAAAAAAAAAAATGAAATAAAAAATATGTATTTAATAAGGATTTTATAATTAACTCGTCATTTGATGATCATAATCATTATACTTTCAACAAAGTAAAATATAACAAAAATCTAGCTCCAGAATCGGCCTTTTATGATCGATATCTCCAAAATTGTCCCTTAGTAAACTTCTATGAGGACATCATAATGTACAACTTACTACAAATTCAGCCAATTTCACTTTAGACCCTTCTGCCATATGTTTTGTGCCGTCCTCTTTGGGAACAACTTCCATATGATGAAGATGGAATAAAAAATTGGAAAAAATGTTCTGGCGGAAATAACACTATTTTTACTATGTGCCTGACGTCTATGCTGATTTGAAACTATGGAATCCAGATTTGTGAAAATACATAGGGTGTCGCTTTTAGAAGTGTTTTGTGGCAATGTCCCAGTTAAACTTGATTATACGTACGTCAGAAAGTCTAGAATTACAAGGGATATAAACATTCCACATTATATTTATGTCCACCCATAAAAAAGATTGTAGTCCGTCTTTCTGTTCCACCTGTTAAATTGGCTCTAGAGTGTAGGTTGAGTCAAAAACTCAAGGTTCTGAGTAACGACTGTCCATGACCTCCAGTGTTAGTTCTTCACAATTTCGATCACTAATTCCTCTAAAACCGTTATATTTAAAAAAAGATTCATCAAAATGTATTAAAATGCATTTATCATTATTATTGATTTCCTTGGTTTTGTTACAGGCTGGCTACGGCCGCTCTCCAGTTCCTCCGTCTTCCACTGGTCGAAGCCCTTCTGCTGGTTACGGAAGTCATGACCATTCGGGTAGTCATCACGGCGAAATAGGACAAACTCATTACGGGCAAGGCCCCCAACACGGTCAACATGGAAGCGCTGGAGGCAAGCCAGCTGACAAGCGTCACTACAATAATAACTTGGATGAGCTGGACTCATTGCTGCAGGACCTTAGTACGAGATACAACTCTGGCACTCCAGGTGAGGATCTATGACTTTAAATAGGGCAGTATTTCTTACACAGAACTAATATCGGACCTCACTACTTCTTAAGACACTATAAAATTGTGAGTTGATGTGTGAGTTGGTCAAGACGTAATGCATGAAATATGCGGTGACCTTAACGGATTTTCGTTCCGGTTTATGTATTTCTCTTATACTTTAGATTTTCCTGACATTTACTATTAGAGATACGGACGTGCCTTTTTATGTGTGTATTTGTGTATGTCTATATCTACTCCTAGCATTGTACTTCCTTTTTATCTGAAAGCTAACTTTATCGAGAATATCTTAGCTATAATTCAAGAAAAAACTATTCAGCATTTCCAAGTTGACGTTTTTGAATTTATTAATTTGTACCTTTTAGAACTAACGTAAATTCAAAATAGGCAATATCATTTTATAGTAATTTTGCTGGTATGCTCCGTGACACAGACCATTGTGTTTTTTATAATTCTTTGCGAGGTATCGGGTGGATGGTAACAAGTATTCAAACCGTAAAGCTGCCGCCAAGGCCGCTCGTCCTTTTTTGTCGCTTTTTTCCAACTACCTGTTTGCAACAGTATTCTAAATCTTTTTTAACTGACTACTTCATGATGTGTAAAGAAATGACTAAAAAACAGCGTTTTTAATTTTGTTTTGTCATAAAATGCATTTTTTGTGCGTTTTATTGTGGATTTTTTCTTCGATCGTAACTTGTTAACTTATATTAGTACAGTTTGTATGTGAATATTCCACTTTTATTGATGAATGAAACAAGTGATTTATTTTATTCCTATCACTTTTTCTCTTCGAAAAATCTTTGCTTTATTCGAAAACTCAACTTGCTGCCAGACGAGGCTTCAAAAAAATCAAAGATTTTTCGAAAAGGAGAAGTGATAAGAACAAAAGTAATCACTTCTTTCATTCTTCCATAAATGAGGAATATTCACGCCCAATTTCAGAGCTGTACTTATATTTGTTAACAAGTTCCGATTGAAGAAAATAATGCACAATAAAATGCACAAAAAATGCATTTTCTCACAAAAACTGAAAACATTGTTTTTAGGCGTCTCTATACACACCATGAAATCATCAGAAGGGAAGTATTTAGAATACTGCTGCAAACAGGTAGTTGAAAAAAAAATCGAAAAAAAAGGGACGTGCCACCTTGAGAACAGTCGGATCTGAATAACAATTTGTAAAGATCTTTCCGGAAACTTTTGGGCTGAGGTATTAAATCAAATCAGTATCTGGTTTATGGCGAGAATGAGACCAAAGACGGTGCATCACAAATAGTTGGTATTAGTAGTGGATTTGTGAGACATGTAAGGAGGTTCACCAAATTTGGTTATCCATGGGTTAGAACCACATTCGTCATTGGGCAGCGCCACTTCTCCCGACTGTTGATCGGACATTTCAATTTTAATTTATTTGATAAATCAAAGTGACCATTGAACTCAATCTTTATGGAGTTGGTCCTTAAACCATTAAATTGTCATATCAGAATTTTATACTTTAATTTGTGAACTAGCTTGTCAGTTTCGAGTAATTTGAAACTCGCGCTAGTTCTGATTCCTATCCACCTTGTATACATGCACCATGGTTATGCATTATGATTGTCCACCAATAACGTACACATAATTTCCGTGCTCATTATGAGAAGCATGATGATTCATTTCTTTTTAAGATACAGGCAAGTCATTGATATTCTGTTGATGATCCCTTACCATCCTTCATTCATAATTCTCGCATATTTAACCATTTCAAATGATCAATTATCAGCCGTTTTACAGTTTAACCAACGTCGCAGTTCAAATTGGCCGTGTAGGTGGTTTGGTAGGTTGGAATAAGCTGCGTTTCAGTTTACCTTGAGGTGTGCATGGTGGTAATATTGCTAGTGAATTTTTAGTACGTTTATCAATTTCAAAACAGACATGGTGTTGACCCAAAGGTAGAATTCATCTGAACCTACTTTACTAACTAGGCTTGAATATGTATGCGTAAGTCGGATACACATTTTTACATGTCACGTGAACTCACGTATTAAAATTCAGATTGATGTTCTGATAAAATGCATGGATGCCTGATGTGATAATAGTTTATTTTTAAATACAAATCATTGTCAATGAACGGAGATAGTGAAGCAGTTCACCTTACCGTGAATCTTGCAGTGATGCTTATCACCGTCGTTATTAAATTTGACGCTGCTCAATTGAGAATTACCAATGAGGATAACATGACCTCTGTGTGCCCAACAAAGCGCGAATGTTAAGGAACATGGTGCCAAAGTGCTGCACTGAGATGGCTAAGTGCACCGCGAACTGAACAAAGTCTAGTTCATAAAGTGTCTTCGCATTTCCTCAGAAATACATTATTTAAACATTTTTTAATGAAATACAAAATATTTTTTTTCGCGCGAACAAAGCTTTCTTAGGTTTTTTAATTCTTATGCGGATGCTGATAGTTTTGGAGATATAAGCGCGCAATTTTTTGATGTTAGTACATGAATACACTTCCAATCCTACGCACCTATTAGACTTATTTCACACACCATAGATTTCCCCGTACATTTGAACTTAAAACTTCCGATTTTAATTCTATGCAGCTATTAAACATAATTCATACATCTGAAATATTTTCGATACGCATCACTGCTCCTGCTGACTGGGTTCACCGGCGGGCGTGACAATTTTTACAACTGTCCTGGCATTACTGGCATTTTTGACGCGTCGTGCGGTCAGGTACCGGTGAGAGACGACGTTACCGTATGGACGGTACCCAGATATTGCAAGAAAAGAATGTATGGGCTTGTTTGACTGACTCAATCCGTCTAATTTCTCCGTTATACATGTTCGTAATTAACTTTCTCTGAGGGTATAACTTATGCTGAACATAATCGTTTATCAACTGATGACGGCGTTGCGTGGGAAGTACAGAGTCAACATACTTAACGCCATTTTTTTTTCAGATAACATGAATGGGTCATCTGGGCACTATAACGGATCCTTGCGAGAGTCAGGAGTAAAAAGCCCTTCGAACTACTCCAGGCCTTCCAGTGCGCAAAGTACAGTTAGGCCTTCCGTTGATAGCCTTCTGGATGAATTAAATTCTGGGTGAGTGCAAGATCACATGATTTGATGACAACTAATCTAAATGACATTCTCGGCTAATTCCGATAAGGATGGCCTTGCTGAAACGATAGTGCATGATATGTCTAGAAAACTGCAGAGAAACAAAATGAGAGTAATAGTAGTAATTTTATCTCTAGTCATTTAGAGATGTCGGGAAACTGTGGTGGTCGGGCTCGGTAGTACCGCGATTGGTGAACTACTCATAGGTGATAGATTTAATTTTTGATCACCATGATACTGAGTTTTTCAAAAGACCAAGTATTCGCTTGTTTGCTTTCTGCCATCTGTCTCCAAATGCCTAGACGTATGCCGTACTGATGAACGTTAAAAATGGAACAACGTTGCATATGGTTAAGGTCGCAAAGACGGAAAGCAAACAGATCTTACTCAGCCTGTGTTTATTTTATACAACTCTTATACAGTACGCCAATACTGGTAGCATGGTCAGTAATTGGTCAGTACCCCTGAGCAATGATGAAACGCCTATGTAGCGAGCAACCTTGTTCGATCTCTTAGAACTGGGCTCTGTCATTCAGAGATGCCGGTAAACTGTGGCTTCCTGCTCCCGTACATAGGACTTGGTAGTACCGCGATTGCCGAACTACTCATAGGTGGCAATGTAAGCTTTTTCTTTCGAACGTATTTTTTGTTAAATTTTTTTATGCTTGAACAATTACGAAGGCCTAAGGCCTAAATACCTGTGGGTACCGTGTGATTATAGGGGGGTATATTGGAAAGGGGGACGTCACACGGACTTGAGCGAAGGAACACGTGAGCATGTGACATGCACACATTCTGGCCCGCCTTATAGTTACGCCGTGTAGTATCTCCACGTTCGAGTCTGAGACCATCCACCACCTACGTAAGGCTAATGTCACGGTATCAGTATTTACTGAGGCCCGTACCATCAGTACTAACTGTTCATTCCATAAATGGCAGTTGATTTCTACGTAACCTTATACATCTATAATTACTGACGTTCAGGCTACTCAGTAAATAAATATCATATTCAACGGCAAATACTGTGACATCCACCTACATTACTGATACTGATCAGTAATTTGCTACTGTAGACAAATACTTTTTTAAGGAAATATTTTTCCCATGATTTGATAGCCCCTGAAAGAGAACCGACGACGGACAGCAATGACTTTTGCTTAGCCGAATGACATTCTACAAGCATGGAAATATAACTCAGAAGTAGAATACTATTTTTTAAGGATCAATAACCATTCATTTCCAATAAAAGATAGGTTACTATAAAGTATAAACGTTCGTCTGTTGTTGTACATAATCGCAAATCCGGTCGATGCATTTTCGTAAACGCTGTAACGCAGCGGCGAAATGCTTATTCACTGGCTTCTTTTAAATTGAATTGTGTCCACAAGGCTTTTATATCTTTTTGAACGACTGCTGTTGAAATAATGTTATCAAGTGATATTATCTCTTTCAGTTTTATTGATTTTTTTATAATAGCATTTAAACTGACCTTATTGTCACATATATACCGATTATGTGAAATAAAGCATATTAGGGCATGTACTCATTTATTCTAAAACCCACCGCAATGCCTCACCATAGCCTAAGAATCGATCAGTGTATAAAATATTTTCATTCATTTCCAAAAACTCTATCCTTTCAACAAGCTACTCAGAACCTTAGAAGACAATTTGTTCGCCATATCTCAAAATATATATCATAATTCCTTATTTAAAATTTCAATGCAGTACCAATAATAGCATGTTTAAAATTTAATGTTTCTTCTGTAATTTTGGACACAACACACCTGTGAACTATAAACTTTGTGATTATTTTAAGCATACCGATCCTAAAAATATGGGTGATTTCTGACTGCATCGCGTTGTCAAATATGTTGCCATCGTGTCGCTTATTATTAGGAATATATTAATACTTAGCTATTTAAAATTTGGCATTTTATCTATGACTTGTACCTTGGATAATAGATGTGTTGTATTGACTGCTGATAATGAAATTGGCAAATTGTTCGCGTTCATTATTTTAGGCAAGAATATGTTTTATAATTTACCGTATTGTAACGAATAATAAAGACGCCGGCTGAATCTCGGTAACCAATCAGCCTAGAGCTATCTGTTAAAAAACATAATAAAATTGGCCAAGAGACATTATTATAAGTGGATCTAATATGATCAAAAGGTAGAAAAACAGTATTTTCTCAATTGCGTATACTTCAAAGACAATTGTGATAAAATGTAGGTACAATTGAAGAATGTTGTTTCATTTATCAGGCGATACCTACGTCACAGCGGTTATGAAAAAACGTAAAAGTAAATTTTAAGCTGAAATATCTTAAAATCGTGTTGTATTGGTACATTTTACAGAACTATAAATCCTTTTTCTTCTCTAACAGTAGGTACGTGAAAATTGTAATTTAAGCCTGCTTCTTAATACATCTCCATAGAAAATAAAGATATTGATGTGTGGTTTTCACCATTTTATAGGAATTTAATAATAATAAAAAATTCTCGTATATCGTATTTGAGGTTTTCGCAGAAATCTAAAAAAAAAACGATGAATCATCCACAAACCGCCATCCAGTAGCCTGAACTGAACTGAACTAATCTGACATGATTGAGCATTCATTGGGAATGCAGGTCAGCACGATAAGGCTATTTAATGAGTATGTTAATTTTGTAAATTTCTCAGTTTCTGCCATTTTGGACGCTGAGTTGTTATGTAACAGTCGTTTCAGTGAGTTGATGTGAGTGTTTTTGTGAAATTGGACAAAATCGAGTATCGAGCTGTCATTAAATAGTTGTTTTTGAAAGGCAATACGCTTACGCAAATCAAAGAGTTGTATTCTGTGTATGGGGACACTGCATCATCATTTACCACAGTAAAGTTTTTGGCAGCTGAATTTAAACGTGGTCGTAAGGGCTAGGTAGACGATGAACGTTCGGGACGTCCAAAAAATCATCACCAAAGTTCACCAAATGGTGCTAGACGACCGCCGAACTAAAGTGATAGAGATAGTAGCGGTTATGAACATGTCAAAGAACGTGTTTGTGACATATTAAATCAATATTTAGGCATGAGAAAGTTGTCCGCGCGTTGGGTGCCGCGTTTGCTCACGTTAGACCAAAAACGTATTCGAATGAACATTTCCAACGCTCTGTTGGCGCAGTTTAGGCGCAATAAATCTGAGTTTCTGCGCCGATTAGTTACTGTAGATGAAACTTGGATACACCATTATACGCCCGAAACAAAAATACAGTCCAAACAGTGGACTGCAATGGGAGAACCGGCTCCAAAAAAAAAGCAAACACTGTTTTTCTGCTGGGAAAATTCTGTTTTACGAAGATAAGGCACCTCAGCGGTTGTCATGGCGAAAATCCACGAATTACGGTTTGAAATGCTTGACCATACGCCTTACTCAGCTGATCTAGCCCCAAGCGACTTCTTTTTGTTCCCTTATCTAAAAATTGCGCGCTCGGAGGACATACTTTTTCGTCAAATGAAGAGGCAACCACCTTCGTGAACAATTATTTTGCAGAGAAAACCGCCGAGTGCTATTTGGACGGGTTACAGAGATGGAAGCATCGCTGGGAGAAATATGTAGAGTATCAAGGAGACTATGTTGAAAAATCAGTAAAAATATCTTGTATATTTCTTAGTTCGGAAACTTTTCAGACTTCCCTCGTACATGCACTTATTGATCACTATTATTCGAGGCATACGAGACGTGTAGCTCTTACATCTGCAACAAGTAGTAACCGAAATGTTGTAGCGCTTCGTTTCATTTCGTCAGCTAGATGCATATAAAATGGCTTCCATATGTCGAGAAATGTTTCAACAAAAAATTTACTCTAGAGTATCCAAAAACTCCTTAAAATTAAAAAATAACAAGACATAAAACAAAACATCAAAAATAACCTAGATATTACTGATATTCAATGCCTTATTACATTACATTTTCTACCATTCACAGTGTGCAAAAGATATTAAGAATGAGGAGATGAAAGTTGGATATATTAAATGTCCGAATTGGACTCTTTAAAATTAAATAACATATCTGCAAGACTGTATGCTCAAATTTATCGACTTTCTTACTTAGATTAATTTATTGTATTTATTCATCTTTAGTAGTAATATCGTGGCGACGTCAATTTTGCATAATTATGTGTTTAAAGTTTTTGGTATGGATCAGTGCAAAACAGGCAAATTTTTCAAAATATACAACAATTTTTCTTTCGTTCCATTCTAATAAAGTAGAGTCATATTGCGGTGAACATGAAACAACAGCTTCGTGGATTTATGTATAGCAGTAATATACGGGTTATTTAGACACTCTCAATACTTGTTTTTAGGAGTCATCCATCAACAGTAGTTACTAAAATATCGTATTTGCTGACGAACTTCCATTTGAAGTACATGTATACCTGGGCTACGCACGTTGCCTAGTGGCGTGGTTTTTATTGTTAATATGAATCATCACGCTATTCAAAATATATGACGGTAATGATCTTGGAAACGGGAGATAAGAAGTCGGTTGCGCATTTTCGTAACTAAGAAAATCGCACACAGAAAATTTTGCAGTACTTTGCGATATTGACTGTAAAAAACGAATTTTGCCAAAATCGTTTTTATTTTTCCTGCCACTATCGGATATGAGATTTTGAAATAAATTACACATTGACATAGGTACGCTTTCTCCTCTACAAGATGGCATAATTAGAGTTTCAATATAACGTTTCGACTTTGACCTGAATGAAAAATTAGATGACGCGATTCAAATGGTGGTTGTTTGGCTACTATATTTAAACATGGCTGTCAAGTTGTGCAACAGCTGTTCACCATATTTTCGTAACCAATGACCGGTTTTAACCTTTTTAAGCTCATTTTATTCCTTTCTCAAAAACAAACATATTTTGTGATCATACATTTTCCGGTTAATCCAATAATTATTGGGGTAGAGTAGGGTTTTTAATTCTGGTTTAAATAAT